CTGGGGCCCAGTGTGGGGCCGGTGATGAGGAACACCATGATGCCTTCTGCGAGGCTTGGGCTGCGGTATTAGGGGAGGTCGGAGCCGCAGAGCGCCCTCTGGCATCGGGGCATTACAATGGGTAGCCTCCCACTTAACTGACATTGAGATATGAATCCATTATCATCAAAGGTGTGGCGCGTGAGATAAGCAGGCGGTTGCCCAGAGATAGGTGGGCGGGCCATGAAGAGCTTGGCTCTGAGTAGGCCCCCTCTCACGGTGACAGGTGAGCGGGCCACAGAGCTCGGCCTCCGGAAGCCCCCTGTCACACTTGGGCTCTCGACATATTTAGTAAAAAAAGATAGGACAAATTAAAATTTCTCTCTCCCTCTCTTTTGCTCTTTCCATGTGTTACTGTGTGTATTTTTTTAGGCTTGTGCGAATAAGCAGTTATTCAATTAGGATTTTGGATTTGGCCAATTCTGATTCGGCCAATTCAATTCAGAGATTTGAATTGTTTTTCCAATTCAATTTGGCCAAATCGATTCCAAAAACATTCATAGTCTATTCTGAGAGATTTGGAGATCCGGCCATAGGGTATAATGGGGAATCAATGAAATTTCTGTAACTTTGTTGTTTTTTTGTTTGATTGAGGTGAAACTCACAGGGGTGGTAGTTTCAAGGTGATAGGTGCAGGGGTTTCTGAGGAACTGCGCCTTAAATTCCTGAAAGCAAAACTCATGGGGGGTGTGTGTTAAGCTACAGCAGGGTGAAAACTGCAGGGATGATGGCTCATGCTGAGGTAACAAAGTCTGCCAAGCTTCAAGGAGAAAGGTGCAGGGGTTTCTGGGAAATTGCACCTCAACCTGCTGACAAGCCAAACTCATGACATAGGTGACACTGTGTGTCTTAGTGCACAGGGGTGGTGAAAACTGCAGGCCTCCTAGAGCCTGCTGTGACCACAAAGCCTGCCAGCTGTCAAGGAGGAGTCTGGGTTCTGGGTGTTTCTGGGACTGTGTGTGTGTTCAGGGGCACCCTCCCTGGCACTGGGGCCTCTGCACAAGATGGCAGTGTGCCCCCATGAGGGCTCCTCCTCCCCTACAGCCTTGGTCCAGTCCACCAATGTAAAAGATGGCAGGTCAAAATAACTCAGCTGGCTCAACACCAATAGCACCAGCAGCTTCACAGGTACCCAGGCAGAACTGTCACAGCCTTTCTTCTGATAAAGGAATCGACAGCAAGAAGTAAAGATGTTGTGTTGGATATATGTTACTGTCAACAGTACATATGTGTGCCAGGCCAGCCTCTGGCTTCTTTACTGTTCCTGCCATCCAGGACCAGCAGACACACCAACTGCAGGTGTTTCCTCAGCCTGACAAAGGGTTTTTCAACCCAAAAGCTTCCTAAGATATATTTTTCTAATTATTTGGGGATTTTTTCATAATAAACCTATAAACATAAAAATGGAAGATAAGCCATCACACACCATGAGTATGGCAATGGACAGGCAGAGCAGGCAGGAGCACCTGTGCCCCCCGTGCAAGAGCCACCCAATCTCTGCAACCACTCCCTGAAGCGGCTGCAGGGATCAGCCACAGCAATTGGTTGAAGGAACACCTTCATCTGAACCCTCATGTAACAAGGGTTCAGCTTGCCACCGGATCCCGCCCTTTTAAAGTACTCTGAAGCCATGCTCTTCTGTAAAGGAATAGCTGTCAGTCACAGGAGAAAAAAAAGGTCACTTGTGTCAGCACCCAGAGTTGGTGCAGGGCCTGATCTGATGCAGAGAACTGGCAATGGCTGATGAAGCTGAGTAAGGTGAACCAGATATCAAGTGTGATGAACTGGAAGACACCACTCTATTGCAATCAAACTTGAAAATACATCAAACATGAAAATACATCTGATTAAATAGACTCCTGCATCCCTAGGTGGTTTGAGCATCCAAAGCCATCAGAAGGGGTTCTCTGAGCACTGTTTATTCAAGATATTCTGAAAGCATTTATCAAGATGGCATGAAAATGCTGTATAAATACCCAATGCTGACTAAGACCTTGGTCCTGATTACCCTTAACTTGAGTTCAATTTAAATTGTCCTGGCAGTGCTATGATAAAGGAAGGTGGGACCAAATATTACTTTGGAGTAAAGGGGTCTTCCGTATGAATGAGAAATGGCCCCTTATAGCTTGATTTCAGCTCTCGTATCCATGTATTGGTATTTCCCATGTTTCGCATGTATCATGAAATAATACTTAAAAAATGATGTGCAACCTGGTCCAGGGGAGATTCCCGTTCCATGGAAATGTGGAGATCTGGGTTCTACTTCTGGATCTGCCACTGGCTTCATGGGTGCTCATTGTCAAAGCGCTTTGCAGTTTTTGTGCTCCACTTTCCCAATCTATAAAATGGGGCTGATACTTATCTGTCTTTGAAGACAGACCACAAAAACTAAGGATCAAAATGGCCTCATAAGTATTCTATACAATTATTAACACAATGCATGTTTTTTTTCTCACTTATTTTGGCTCTTGCTACAATATCACTTTACATTACAGAAAGAGACATTCCTTTTGAGTCTTGAATTAGAACTGCAGAGGCCTCTGTTTACGCTCTTTAACAAATGCCACAAAGTTAATTCCCTTGTGAATTCAATAGCTAAAAGTGATCATTATCTGCAATCCCAAGGAAAGTCTCATCATCAACAACTGGTGGTGAGAAGCTGCTTTCTTATAAACCTGAGCGAATGCCGAACGGGGCAGTGGTGCTGGGCACAGGCAAGACAGCAAGATCATTCCAGCTAGTGAGTAGCATGTAGAGAGACTCTGTGACACTGCGAGGAGCAGAGTGATGGGGTCCACGACACTGATCCCCACACTCCACCACTACAGATGGAGAGGATTATAGGTAAGTGTTATGTTATGGCTGCTTGGTCTAACCACAGGGAGGCTGCAGGACAGAGTGAGAGCTACTGTCTTGTATCCTTGGATCCTGCCTGCAGTCCTACCCAACCGACTCATACATGTCAGGTGGCCAGCACGGTATAGCTGGGGACACAACAGATGTGCTTTTTTTCTGGTTCCTTGTCCTTTTCCTCATGCAAGCAACCTCTTTCTCGTATACATCTTCATTCCAGGGATATCCCATCCTCTCCCCTTTCTTTCTGAAACTCATCTTCAAACGTTGGCAAATGCAAGGGCTGGGATTTCTAGGTCCATCCTGTGCCCCCCTTGCATGCTCCTAGCTGCGCTCAGGAGAGGGATCCAATCCTTACAGCAGAAGCACGCAGAGCAGTGATGAGTTAGCAGCCCTGCATTTGTCCCTGATGCATGCCGTGTTTGGATAGCTATTGATCCAGCTTGCTTTTCATTCTCCCCTTCACACATTTCATCACAGCTCCTGTGTCTGAGGCACAAGACAGCATAGTTGGCAGTTCCGAGTAGGAGCTGCTCTGTTGCAGCTCTACCTGTTACGCTCCCCTCCACGTTTAACTTTCTCCTCTCTCTCCCCCACTGCAAAATCCACCCAACCAACCTTCTAGCCCCGTCGCATGCCCTGAATCAGCTGCTTTTCTTGCCCTCCTGCTGTAGAGCATTTCTCATAGCAATCCCATGACCCAGCTTATCTCTTCCTCTACTAATTCATTCTCCTTGTTCAGTTCTGCCTCTCCAGCTTAATCAAAGCTGACATCATGTCTCTGGTGCTTTTCACCATCGTTGCTTTGTTCTTCAATCTCTTCCTTCTTCATATCCCCACAGGTTCTTGCTGGTTTCTTCCAAGGGAAAAAGACATCATATTATATAAATTCCCACCTTCCCTCAGCTCATCTCCCTTGCACCTCTCCCCTTCCTACACTTATTTCCTCCTTTTCCTTAGCCTGAAATGCAGGATTTCATATAATCTCTTATTTCCGAATGCCATCCCTTGCACAAGTTGGCCCCATCATATACCCTGCTCAGCCATGTGACTTCTCATTACTTTCCTTTTCTTTAATTCTTCTAATTAAATTCTTCTCTTTTTTCTTACGCTTACCCCTCATAGTACACACATCTGTTAGGTGTCCCCATCTTGAAAGGAAACAAAATAGCATAAAAAATAAAGTATTCAACCCACTTCCCTATTCAGTTAGTGCTTATCTCCCTGAAAATCTGACCTCTGGGAAAGCGGTCTAGAAAACTATAGTTTTGTTAGGGTGATGGCCCATAGATCTTCCACACACAGCTCTCTTGTTCCATCCAGACTAAAGCGCCCACCTGTCTCTTTGACATCTTGTCTCTCTGCTCTGTCTCTGTATCCTCATATTGACAGGCTGACTTTTCTTGCAGAATCTTTCTTCTTAACACCTGTAAGATATGGCCACTGATCTCCCTCCACACAGCTAGAATTCATTCTGACACCTTTTAGTTTGTCAGCCTTTCTTTGGGCTTCAACCAATGCAACTGTACGTATTTATTTAATGTATTCAATTTATATGACACTTTTCCTAACAAAGGCTCAGTGGCTCAAAATAAGAGGACAGAATAACTTACAAAAGCTTTCTAGACCCCCAAACCCAAATGCCCCCCTCCATCTGCCCCAACACTGAACCCCAGCTCCCTGAACCCAAAGACCCCTCCCTAATTTCCCCCCTTGAACAGCTTCCCATCCCCTCTCCAAAGCATGGAGGGGAGGGGGCAAGGAAAGTTCTCCCTGCACTTGCCCCAGAGGTGAGGCTGCTCATCTGAGTGCAGTCATTGGTGGGTGCTGAGGGTGTAGGTGTGCTTGAAGCACTACCTGCACTGTAGGTGGAGTTGCTGGTCCCTTGTGTGGATGTGCAGGTGTCAGGCCAGGTTCGTGGTCCCAGTGAAGCTCTTCCCATACTTGGCACACTCATGGCCCTGCTGCTTTCCATCTTGCCCCTCTTCTTTCCATTCTGAAATCTACTGGAAGACAAGTTCCGGAAAGTTACTGGAAGTCATTTTCTCCATGTTTGTTACTCTTTCCACTCTGTAGCTTCTTGACTATAAACCATTTGCTGTCACTCTACAAAATCTCTCTGGAGCTGCAGATGTTCTTTCTCATCTCCTATAAGACACACCCAGGATGCCAGCCAGCATGACAGAGATTTGATGGAGATTTGAAGGCCCCAAGGAAGGTGATGGTTATAGGCCTGAGAACTAAGGGGGTGCCACTAATGAGGCTTGAATGAGTTTATTGCTGAGCTTACTGTGGAAGTCATGAAGGGTCATTAATATTGAGGTTGATGATGATTACGGTAACTATGATGATGAAGTATTAATAACTACAGAAAAGAGAAGAAGGAATTTCTGAAAGCATCTGCTTGGGACATTTCCTTTTTGGATGCAGTTCTCTTAAAAGCTGCTGGGTATGATTAGGCAGTAGGACTGGCTAGACAAAACTTTGTCTCAGATGATATAGTTGGGAAAGGTCCTGCTTTGAGCATAGGGTTGGACTGATGAGGTTGCTTCCAACCATAATTATCTATGATTCTGTGACCCTAAGCCCATTAAACCTGCATGCAATGCCATGGGCAGAAGAGCATTAAATAACTGTGGAGCTGGTACCTGGGGCAGGCAGGTAGGAAACTGCAATTCCACAGCCCTGAGCAAAGCCTGAGCAAAGAGAACATAAACTGTTCCCTAAGGCTGAACAATCATCGTATTGATGCAATGTACATCTCCCTGTTGGAACTGTATAGCAAACATTCAAAGATAATTCCTTTTTTTTTCATTTCCTAGGAATAACCCACTAGAATAGTGACCTGATGAAAAATGCTTATGTTCAAAAGCTTGTCTAACTTAATCCAGACCATGAAAAAGGTCCAATAAAAGATATCACCCACAAAAATCCTTGCTTATCACTAGAAGAGTGAAAGGAAAAACCCAGCTGCACCTCATGGAGGAAGCAGGAGGAGACAATCACACATCTATCACAGAATTCCTCCTTCTAGGATTTGGGACCATTCCACAGCTACAGATTTTTCTCTTCCTGCTGTTTCTAGTGATCTATACATCGACCGTGACCGGGAACATCCTCATCATTGTGCTTGTTGTTGCTGATCCGCACCTTCATACTCCCATGTACTTCTTCCTGGGAAACTTGTCGTACTTGGAGACTTGCTACACCTCCACTGTCCTGCCCAGGATGCTGGCCAGTCTCCTGACAGGGGACAGAACCATTTCTGTTAGTGGCTGCGTTACACAATTTTATTTTTTTGCAAGCCTGGCAGGTACAGAGTGTTGTCTCCTAGCTGCAATGTCTTATGATAGGTATTTAGCAATTTGTAAACCACTGCTCTATGCAATGTTAATGAATGGCAGAGTCTGTCTACTGCTAGCAACTGGATCTTGGCTAGGGGGATTGCTGGTTTCTACATTATTAATAAGTTTTATGTCACAATTAACTTTCTGCGGGCACAATGAGATTGACCACTTCTTTTGTGACTTCACTCCAGTGATACAGCTCTCCTGCAGTGATACGAGGCTGGTCATTCTTATTAGTTTTATAACTTCCTTCTTTGCTGCCCTTTCCCCATTTCTCTTAACTCTGGCGTCTTACATTTGTATCATAGATGCCATTCTGAGAATCCCTTCTGGGAGGGGAAGACAAAAGGCATTTGCTACCTGCTCCTCCCACCTCATTGTAGTAACAATTTTTTATGGGACCATATTGATTGTATATTTCTTACCAAAAAACAACATGCTGAGATACTTGAACAAAGCATTTTCTGTTTTCTACACAATCCTTACACCCCTGATCAATCCCCTTATCTACAGTCTGAGGAACAGAGAAGTGAAAGAGGGCCTGAGAAAAGTTGTCAGCAAATTTAGGATCCTGGGAATTCAAACTACCCGGCTGATATGAGGATAAGTGAAAGAAACAGTAATTGTGCGGTTTGGGTTTTGAAGAGTCTTCTGCACAAGGGTTGTATCTTTACGTTTATAAAAGGTGAACCTGGCTGAAAGGCAGTATATTCTTGTAAACAGTTAAAACTTTATCTTTCCTTCCCCTCTTTTAGGTGGAACATTCTGAATATGAACACCCCCCCCACACACACACACACACAATTTCAGGCTCCTCTGTACTCATGCTAATAATATCTATTATTTCTCATGGGTTTTGTAGAACTAATAAAAGTTCTTCCAGAGTAAAAGTGACTAGGATGATACAACCCTCAATGTGAGGTGCTTTATAATCCTAAGAAGTATATTATCATCTATTACCTATATCCTGTTGTACTGCACTTGGCTTGGTATTTTCCAGACAAATGGGAACAAATAGTTTCTGCTCCTGATAGATGTCGGCCATCAAGTCTGAACCTTTGTCTCTACCAGCAGCTCTGCCAGAAGCTTCATCTCCATCAACAATTTCTAGAGAGAGGGCATGTCTCCCTTATCTCTAAGGGCATAACTCCCTTATTTCTAGAGAGAGGACATGTTGCCTTATCGTGACGTTACTGTCCAGTGCATTAGTACTTCCTCTTGGAAGTACTAAAGCAAGGTGCAGTAACAGCCTTTGCATGCACGGTGCATGGTTATTTTTAGCAGATACTTCACCATAACAGTGTACTATAATGGAAGGGGTGAGAGGGGTGGAAATTGCTATGGCAGAGTAGCTGCTCATCATGTGTAGACACCCATGGACACTACACTGCTGCATCATGAAGGTACCAAATTTATAGGCGATTAGTTGCAGTGCAGTAATGCATGTGTGGAGGCATTACCGTGCAGTAATGTGGGAGCCTCCAGGCTGGGTCTGCCCAGCCACTATGGAGCCAGCTGGAGCCCGGCTTTAGGGCTCCTGCCTGACCCCCTCTCCTGGAGCTGCGCTCAGCTGCTTTCTGTCAGCTCCTAGCTTCAGGGTATAAAAGGCTGAAGCCACTTTTTGCCTTGGGGCACACACCACAGGGAGCTGGCAGGAGCTACTCTCTGTCCAGGAGTCAAGCAGGTCCTGTGTGCCCCTCTGGACAGCCTGCAGGCAATATTTGCCTGGGCTGTCACCCTCCTGAGCTGGTGCCTGGCCATAGGTGAGCATTACAAAGGTCTCTTTTTGCTGCATCCGTTGCCCAGGCCTATGATCCTATTTGGGCTAGTGGCCTTTCTGCCTGTGCTACAAGGAGCAGCACCTGCTCCCCACTGCTGCTCAACCCCACATCTGTCTCCTCCAAGGACTAGAGTGAAGCACCTCAACCACATGGCTGTGACTCCCTGGCCAATCCCCTGTTGGGTGTCATGCTGTCAGCCCTCAACGGCCAGCATCATAGGGCCAGTGGCATGGGGGCCCGGTCAACCAACACAGGGCACGACATCATCCTCCTCCCCTGTGTCCAGCCCTAGCCCCATCCACGTGTGCCCACCCATGTGGAGCCCCAAGGGCCCAAACTGGATCCAGGAGGATGTGTGCACCCTTAGGGCACTGTGGGGCGAGGAAGACATCCTGAGGCAGTTTGTCCAGGGTGGGCACTTGAATGTCCATCTTTATGAGGCCCTGGTGGCTGAGATGCATGCACGGGGCCACTCCCAGTTGTTATGCAAATAGCATAAATACCAGCTTGATGTTAGATAAATAACATAGAAATAGAGTTTGGCCTATTGCTTTTAAGCTTATGTATTTTCCTGAGTTCTGCATTGCCTTAAGTGCTCTGCAGTTTGACATAAGTACTTGACCTTTTCCTCTTTTGTATGCTGTATGGGTGAGAGTGTGTTTCTGGAAAAGGAAAACATCATCTGGCGACTGGCTGAATAATACAGACAGATAAAATTGCAAACAAGAAGAATCTGCCCCAGAACAGCGAGAGAACACCGGCAATCCACCTTCAAGAAAGAACACAGTGATAACCTAGCAAAAGCCCAGAGGACTGCATGAATGGACAAGGCTATAAAAGATGGGGCAAGACACATCAATTTTGGGTCTTGTTCTGCATGTCATCCTGGAGCATCGGTTCATTGGACAAGATGGACTGGCAGGAGCCCTGCTCCCACTCAGATCAACTTGGCTGGCCATTAATTTGATCTAAGCACCGATAAAACTGGTAACGTATACCAGCGCAGAACAGAAATTGGGGTATGAACTTGGTGTGTGTGTGTATTAAGTGCTTAACCAATAAACACAGCACTTTGCCTTATCCCTCTCATAAGGTCTCGCTCGTAATTTGATCAATTGGCAATTTGTGTAACACAGTTGGCGTAGCAGTACCACATTAAGGTCAAGGACCTGCAGGTCCAGTGGGTGGGTGTAAATGGCCACAATCGTTGATCTGGTGGGGCCTCCAAGACCATTCCCTTCATGCAGAAGCTCAACCCCATTCAGGTGCCCAAGGAGCCTGCACCCATGTCCCACCCTGTCACCTCCAGTGACACATCATTGGAGGAGGGGACCTCAGGCCTTCAGTACCCTGCCCTGAACTCCTCCCCAGCTATTGCCATCACTGGTAGCCCAGGGAGCCCTGGCCAGCAGCTGCCTTGGCCTTAGCCTCACCCTGCAGCTGCCCATGAGGAGTGGCTGACCATACCACTTTCAGCAGCCAGCAGCACCAGCTTCTCCCTGGGGAGGTGGAGGGGAGCATGGCCAGGTGTCAACACCCAGCCCACAGGAGGCCACAGACACCAGGTGGAGCTGGATGCGTCCTGGCATGGGGATCCCCATGCCGAGCTGCCAGCCTCACTGACCCCAGGCCCATGCGAAGTCCCACACTGGAGGGTGGCTTCTACCAGTCTCATTCTCCACCCCCACCTGCCCCTAGCCCCAGCTCCGGTCCTGACCCCTACTCCTTGCCTTGCCCTCCCACACTCTCCTGGCTCCAGGACATGTAGAGAGTTGGGACACCTACCACACATTTATTGAGCAGCCTATGTCCTTGTAGCTGGGCAAGCATGGGCTTCCCATTCACTGAGGAAGGCATTGATCTCAGTAGCGATCTCTTCCTCAGCAACTGGGGGCAGACATATTTCGAGCTGCCACAGATAGCCCTACAGGCAGCAGCGGCCATTCCAGGGCAGGCCAGACTTATGCCCCACGCTATTATAGCTCTGGGTTGTGATCCGTGAGTGCAGGGTTTGACCGGGGCACTGATCATTGCTGGGAGGAGCCAGACTGAAGCAGCAGGGTGCTGGATGCTGCTGGTAGGGGCAGGGGCAGGGGCAGGGATGGCGCAATGAGGCAGGGTGGGCAGGAAGGAAGCTGCTGCAGGCTTTCTCTGCATTTGACATGCAGCTCCCGGGCAGGGGAGGAGCTGGACAGGGATCAGAGGGTGTGGCGGGGGTGCTTTTAAGACAGCTGTCACGTGCTGACAGATGCCTCTGGCATCGGCATGTTTGCCAAGTGCTGGCAACCATTTGACCAAATGCTGTACCTCCCCTCGGTGGCCCCAGGGGCACAGGACAGGCTGCTCTGATTTGGGACTAAGTCTAGTCCCAGGTTGACTGCACATGTAGGCACTGGCCCTGTTCCCACTTACTCTGCAGTAACTGCACAGTAACTTTAATGTGCAGGAAATGCACATGTAGACACGCTCCCAGTATAGCAGCACAGCCCCAGTGACCTGGATCCTGGAAGCCTTGGTAGCCTTTTCTCATGGTGAGCATTCCCCAGAGCACTTGACCTTCGGCACATGAGTTCTGTGGCTCTGAAACAATCTACAAATTGGGATCACAGACGGTAGAAATGTGTCATTCCATTTTATGAGTCAATTTGCATGGCTCTTGGACCCATATTTGTAGAATCTACATACCTGGCCTAGTATAGTACAGACGGCTGGCAGCTTCAGAGCCACTGACTGCTCGTACAACTTCAGTCCAGCAGCACATAATGCTTGTACCAGCACACATTTCTAGGAACAAGTGAAACTTAGGGATGTGTGAAAGAATGGTTTATAATTGTACCATTATTGTGAGTTACACCAGGCGGAGCCAGTGCGCACCGGCCCACGGGGTATTTTGTGTTCCTTTTTACTCTGCAAACTAAACTAATCTCTGAAGAAATGTTATGTTGTTAGTTCTGCAATGGAGTTGCTTTTGAGGGGAGCTGTTGCAAGCACAAGGGGAATATTCTCTCTGGGTGAACCTCTGTAACTAGAGTCAATTTGGGTATCAGAGTTGCTCCAAATATTTGGTGCTAAAATTTCTGAAAGAGGTGTTTGCTTTGAAGACGTTTGTAGCCCCCTCTGGCCCAGGATGTAAACATATTGCTTAGGTTGGCTAGTAACATTAAAAAACATGATAGATTGAACATGAATGGCTTTTCCTCCAATAAGAAACCATCTTACCTCGTCCTGATTCTTTTTTTAAATAGTTAGGGAGCTGAAAAGCAATTAATAAATAAGCATTGAAACATTAAGCAGTAATTCAAATGATACAGTTCATTGAGTTTGTGTGTGTGCATGAGCGAGAGAGAGAGTATACATAAGAAAGGGAGATCTTCTTTCGGTTGTTTCCTTCATTTGCCTTGAATTTCAATTCAGTTTCTTGTGTGTTTATTAAACCGCCTGTTTGGACTTCTTATCTTGCTTGTCACCTCTTACAAATTATTGCTCAATGACATTATTGATGTAATTAAATTCATTTAGAAAAGTCAGTCTGTTTGACAAAACATTAAATGAATGTCGTGTTAAATTGGTCCCTGTATAACAATAATCCCAGACAGCAGGTACGTATGTCCCATACAGATGTCCTCTGGGGCTTCTGGTTGTTTATAGTCAGAAAATAAGTCCGTCACTCCCTAGACTTAGCCCCACCAGAAAGGTAAGCAGTGGAGATAGTAAGGCTCCATGCTGAAGGATACAAACCTTAGGGGACCTCTGAATTTTGTTAATAGAAGGAAAAGAGCAAATTCCAAGCAAGACTGCAGCACCAGCTCTTCTCTTCAGGGAGGGCAGATCTATTTACTGGGTGAATCCACATTCAGTGATGAGAGATGAGGAGCTCTGGTGAAGAAGCAGAAACTTGGTCCATGTCTCATTAAAAATAAAAGCCAATCAATTGAAGGTTGCAGTATCCTGGGGTTACAGGTAGGTGCTAGCTCTCCATCTGCTACTTTGCTACCTTGTCATAGTAAACTGAAGTG